TACTCTATTATTACTGTTATTACATCCCCAGGCAGCAATCCGCCGGGCTTTGAAGCTGCAAGGCCATACGATGCTAATCAAGGTGGCCAATTGCAACATTCAAGCAGACAAGAGTTCTTTCTCCCACCCTGAACATGCCATCTATCTATCTATCTATCTATCTATCTATCTATCTATCTATCTATCTATCTATCTACCTTTGTATATAATAAAAGTCAGTGTTTGTATGTGGAGGGAGGGCGGTGTATGTGGCAGCTTTCTGATGGGCTGCCACTTTCACAGGCCACTATGACCTGCACAGGTGACGGACCTGGACCAAACTTGGCACACGTAACCCCCATTACCCTCTTTACGTCCTGGTGAGGTGTGGGGGAAGTGGACCACGGATTATGGGATTTGTAGTACTTTCAAACACTTTGGTTCCCACAGACCACTGTGGTCCCCACCAATGACAGATCAAGACCAAACTTGGCACACAGAGCCCCCATGACCCACTCTACATCCTGGTGAGGATTGCGGGAGGACAGACAACGGATGATGGGACTTGAAGTACCTTCATCCACTTCTCAAGACCACTGCGACCTTCAGCCAATGACTGATCAAGACCAAACTTGGCACACAGAGCCCTCATGACCTACTCTACATCCTGGTGCAGCTTCGAGGAGGAGGGACCACAGATGATGGGACTTGAAGTACTTCAACTCACTTCCAGAGACCACTGTGACCCTCATCCAATGACTGATCAAGACAAAACTTGACACACAGAGCCCCCATGACCCACTCTACATCCTACTGCAGTTTGGAGGAGGAGGGACCATGGATGATGCAGTACCTTCACTAACTTTCAGAGACCACTGCAACCCTCATCCAATGACTGATCAAGACCAAACTTAGCACACAGAGCCCTCATGGCCTACTCTACATCCTGGTGCAGTTTGGAGGAGGAGGGACCATGGATGATGGGATTTGCAGTACCTTCACTCACTTTCAAAGACCACTGCAGCCCTCATCCAATGACTGATCAAGACAAAACTTGGCACACAGAGCCCTCATGACCTACTCTACATCCTGGGGCAGTTTGGAGAAGGATGGACCATGGATGATGGGACTTGAAGTACCTTCACTAACTTCCCAAAGCCATTGTGGGCCACATAAATAACTGATAAAGACCAACCTTGGCACACAATGCCATCCTCAAATAACCCGGGCACCACCGGGTCCCTAAGTTAGTAGATATATAAATCTCACTTGCCAAGTTTCCAACAGAAGGCTGAAAAATTACAACAAAATACATAAAATAACAAAATAAAATAAACAGTGCAAAATAACATAATGAAAATCAAACAAAATTCCTCCTCTACAAGAGGAGGAATTCTGCAGAATAACAATAAGTGGGGAAATCCATTGGCTGCAGCACTTCCTTTTTGGCTTCTTCATACTATGCTCACAATATGGGTTTCCCTGCAGTAGTCAAGGCACATCACAACCAATACATCCACAAGGGGAGGTGTTAGCTGGCCCTGATTGTCTCCTGTCTGGAATTCTCCTGCTTTTTGAGTGTTGCTCTTTATTTACTGTCCTGATTTTAGAGGTTTTTTTAAAAAAAACTGGTAGCCAGATTTTGTTCATTTTCATGGTTTCCTCCTTTCGAGAATCAATCAGGGCCAGCTAACACTTCCAAACAAAGGATCCCCCAATGCAGCAACCAGCCAGGCTTTGCAGCTGCAAGGCAATTCAGAGCTAATCAAGGTGGCCAAAGTCATAGTCGAATCCAGGGAGAGCGTGGATGAGCTCCCTCTGTCAGCTCCAGCTCTCCATGCAGGGACATGAGAGAAGCCTCCCGCAAAGATGGTCAAATATCAAAACACCCGGGCGTCCCCTGGGCAACGTCCTTGCAGATGGCCAATTCTCTCCTGACACAAAAAATATATATTTATTACTAGCTGTCCCCTGCCACGTGTTGCTGTGGCCCAGTCTGTGTATATGTGTTTTGTGTGTATATATGTGTGTGTGTGTATGCGTGATGTATATATATGTGGTTTTGTGCATTTGTAATGTAATTTTTGTTTTTTGGTTTTTTAAAGTCTCTTTGGCTGTGTTTTTCAGTGTTCTTATAAGTGATGGTCACTCATTGGCCTAACAGGTGTATTGTGTCCAAATTTGGTGTCAATTCGCCCAGTGGTTTTTGAGTTATGTTAATCCCACAAACGAACATTACATTTTTATTTATATAGATTTTACTCTATTTATTATTATTACATTTATTATTTTTCTCTATTTATAATTGCTATTGTTGCATTTACTATTTTACTCTATTTATTATTATTATTATTATTATTATTATTATTATTGCAATTATTATTCTACTCAAGTTGCTCCTGACATGAAAAGAAAGGCTTTGAAGCTGCAAGGCTATTAAATGCTAATCAAGGTGACTGACTGTCACATTTCACATTTGCCTCCAACAAACAATAGTTCTTTCTCCCACCCGGGACATTATTCCAGATATATAAACCCTACTTGCCTAGTTTCCAAAAGACCTCACAACCTCTGAGGATGCCTGCCACAGATGGGGGTGAAACGTCAGGAGAGGATGCTACTACAGCCCGGAAAACTCACAACAACCCAGTGATTCTGGCCATGAAAGCCTTCAACAATACATTTCCTTTAAAAGTTCGAGCCTTCCAAATAGGATTTGCTGGATGGATCCAAGGCAAAAGCAGTCAACCAGAGAACGGGGAAAATCAATATATATGTTATCCAATTTGCGAGACACAATAGTAAAGGGAAGGGATTGCGGACAGGATGAGATGGTGCACGGAAGAGACAAAGTGTATCCATGAGACCCCGTATTGCCTACGCCTGATATAGCATCCTAGAGTTAGAAGAGACCCCCAAGGGCCATCCAGTCCAACCTCCTGCCATGTAGGGAGGCACAATCAAAGCACTCCTGATAGACAACCTCTGCGGAAGAGACTCCACCATATTCCCAGGCAGCCTAGGCCACTCTCCAGGAAGTTCTTCCTAATCTTTTCAGTTGATCTCTTTCCCTGCTATTTGAAACCCTGGCCTCCAAAACGCAGGAGAATTCCAGACAGGAAACAATCAGGGCCAGCAAACATCTCCCAACAAAGGATCCCCCCCCCAGGCAGTAATCAGCCCCTGATGGCACAATGGGTTAAACCCTTGTGCCTTCAAGACTGACGACCGACAGGATCAGGGGTTCGAATCCAGGGAGAGCATAGATGAGCTCCCTCTGTCAGCTCCAGCTCCCCATGCGGGGACATGAGAAAAGCCTCCCACAAGGATGGTCAAACATCAAAACATCCGGGCGTCCCCTGGGCAACGTCCTTGCAGACGGCCAATTCTCTCACACCAGAAGCAACTTGCAGTTTTCTCAAGTCGCTCCTGACACAAAATATATATATTTATTATTTTACTCTATTTATTATTATTATTACATTTATTATTTTTCTCTATTTATAATTGTTATTATTGCATTTACTATTTTACTCTATTGATGATGATGATGATGATTGCAATTATTATTTTACTCAAGTTGTTCCTGACATGAAAAGAAAGAAAGCCAGGCTTTGAAGCTGCAAGGCCATTAAATGCTAATCAAAACGACCAACTGCCACATTCACACTTGCCTCCAACAGACAAGAGTTCTTTCTCCCACCCTGGACATTATTCCAGATATATAAACCTCACTTGCCTAGTTTCCAACAGACTTCACAACCTGTGAAGATGCCTGCCATAGATGTGGGTGAAACATCAGGAGAGAATGCTTCTGGAACATGGCCATACAGCCCAGAAAACTCACAGCAACCCAGTGATTCGGGACATGGAAGCCTTCGACAAGACAAGTCTTATCTCTCCGAACCAAAACAAAGCCATCCTTAGCATCTGTTAGAAGCTTGTTAGAGTTAGTGGGTCAAAGCTAGTGTCATCCTGAGCAGTGTGAGGTAAACCTGTGTGTGAGAAAAGCCTCATGTGAGAAAGCTGCTGCGTGTAGAACCTGTTAAGAGTCAAAGCTGGTGTCGTCCTAAGGAGAGTGAGAAAGAGAGAAAGGTACGGAAAGGAAGAAAGATAAAAAGGAAGAGAGGAGAGCAGAGGGAGAGTGTGTGAGGTAAACCTCTGTGTGAGAGAAGCCTTGTGTGAGAGCCTATTAGAGTCAAAGCTAGTGTTGTCCTAAGGAGCGTGAGAGAGAGAGAAAGGGAAGGAAAGGAAGAAAGATAAAAAGCAAGAGAGAAGGAGAGCGGAGGGAGAGTGTGTGTGAGGTAAACCTCTGTGTGAGAGAAGCCTCATGTGAGAAAACTCCAGTGTGAAGGCTGCTGTGTGTAAAGCTATGGTGCATTTGTTTAGTTTCGTCCTAAGGAGAGTGAGCGAGAGAAAGAAAGAAAGGAAAGGAAAGGAATAAAGATAAAAAGCAAGAGAGAAGGAGAGCGGAGGGAGAGTGTGTGTGAGGTGAACCTCTGTGTGAGAGAAGCCTCGTGTAAGAAGGCTGTTGCATGTAAAGCTACTATGTATTTATTTGTGTTATGGGAACCTTGTTACTACAAATAATGCAAACATATTGTTTTACCACAAAAAAGCCTACTAAAGAAGAGATAACATTGGATTGTGTGTTTTTATTATTGTTTATTTTATCACTTTGGGGTATTGGTGCTGCTGATAAATTCCTCTACCGTGCATTTATGAGGAGGGTCTTTTGTTATTAAGCCCACTTGCCCAACAGTTCTTCCTAATGTTTAGGTGGAATCTCTTTTCCTGCAACTTGGATCCCTACCCTAGGCTTTGGACACGCAACATGAAAAACAATTCCTCAAGGTGACATCTTTCCAAATATATAAACACAGCTGTTGTATTCCCCTTTCAACCTTCCCTTCTCCAGAAACCAAAAGTACGTATCTCCAGAAACCAACATGGGATGCTCAAAGAACAGTGAATGCTCAACACAGAACGAAAGAAACAAATGCAAGAATTTCAGGCCCTACCTGGATATATCTCAAGGCACTCCTTAGGACGCTGAGGTTTGAGGTTTTCTTGTCATCGACGTTGGGGATGTTCCGCTTGAGGGTCTCAAAACATTCTTTCAGGTGGGCACGCCTGCGGAGACAGATCATCCTAAGGTCACCCACACTGCTCAAGTCTGCAGTCCTCAATGAGGAATAAAGATAAAAAGAAGAAAGAAGGAGAGCGGAGGGAAAGAGTGTGTGAGGTAAACCTCTGTGTGAGAAAGCTCCAGTGTGAAGGCTGTTGCACATAGAGCCTGTAGAACCTGTTAAGAGTCAAAGCAGAGTGAGAGAGAGAGAAAGGGAAGGAAAGGAAGAAAGATAAAACCAAGAGAGGAGAGTGTGAGGTAAACCTCTGTGTGAGAGAAGCCTTGTGTGAGAAAACTCCAGTGTGAAGGCTGCTGCGTGTAGAGCCTGTTAGAGTCAAAGCTAGTGTCGTCCTAAGGAGAGTGAGCGAGAGAATGAAAGGGAAGGAAAGGAAGAAAGATAAAACCAAGAGAGGAGAGTGTGAGGTAAACCTCTGTGTGAGAGAAGCCTTGTGTGAGAAAACTCCAGTGTGAAGGCTGCTGCGTGTAGAGCCTGTTAGAGTCAAAGCTAGTGTCGTCCTAAGGAGAGTGAGAGAGAGAGAAAGGGAAGGAAAGGAAGAAAGATAAAAAGCAAGAGAGAAGGAGAGCGGAGAGAGAGTGTGTGTGAGGTAAACTTCTGTGTGAGAGATGCCTCGTGTGAGAAAGTTCCAGTGTGAAGACTGCTGCATGTAGAGCCCGTTAGAGGCAAAGCTAGTGTCGTCCTAAGGAGAGTGAGAGAGGAAAGGGAAGAAGGAAGAAAGATAAAAAGAGAAGGAGGGCAAGTGTATGTGAGGTAAGCCTCTGTGTGAGAGAAGCCTCGTTTGAGAAAGCTCCAGTGTGAAGGCTGTTGCACATAGAGCCTGTAAGAATCAAAGCTAGTGTCGTCCTAAGGAGAGTTGAGAGAGAGAGAAAGGGAAGGAAAGGAAGAAAGATAAAAAGCAAGAGAGAAGGAGAGCGGAGAGAAAGTGTGTGTGAGGTAAACTTCTGTGTGAGAGACGCCTCGTGTGAGAAAGCACCACTGTGAAGGCTGTCATGTGTAGAGTCAATAAGTCAAAGCTAGTGTCGTCCTAAGGAGAGTGAGAGAGAGAGAAAGGGAAGGAAAGGAAGAAAGATAAAAACCAAGAGTGGAGAGAGTGTTTGAGGTAAACCTCTGTGTGAGAGAAGCCTCGTGTGAGAAAGCTCCAGTGTGAAGGCTGCTGCATGTAGAGCCTGTTAAGAGTCAAAGCTAGTGTCGACCTAAGGAGAGTGAGAGAGAGAGAGAAAGGGAGGGAAAGGAAGAAAGATAAAAAGCAAGAGAGAAGGAGAGCGGAGGGAGAGAGAGTGTGAGGTGTAGCTTGGTGTAGACTAAGGGTTTCCCTTCCCCCATGTCTCCTGAGGAATGTATCTACAGTAGAGTCTTGCTTATCCGACATAAATGGGCCGGATAAATGAAAATGTCGGATAATATGGAGCCTCCTAGTGTTACTCATCCGATGCAACTCTAGACACCTAGAACACTAACAACAGGGGTTAAGGAAAGGCAACGCCCCGGGGTTAGAGTGACCCAGCAGGAAGTGCTCGGATAAAGGCTCATAGAGTTGGAAGAGACCTCATGGGCCATCCAGTCCAACCCCATTCTGCCAAGAAGCAGGAATATTGCATTCAAAGCACCCCTGACAGATGGCCATCCAGCCTCTGTTTAAAAGCTTCCAAAGAAGGAGCCTCCATCACACTCCGGGGCAGAGAGTTCCACTGCTGAATGGTTCTCACAGTCAGGAAGTTCTTCCTAATGTTTTTGGATTCTCTGATATATTCTAGGGTAGTTTTCCCTAACAAGCCTTTCCATGCAAGGGATCCAGAGTAACAGGGATCAAAATGGAACTATTCCACAAGGCAGACACACTTAAATGGGGGGGTCTAGCGAAACGAAATGGGGGCGGGGCTAGCAAAATGAAATGGAGAAGTATAGAGCTCCACTGGCTTGCATTTGTCCAACTATATACAGGATTTCCCCCCAAAGTTACATACCTGTTCTTTTCCAACTTATTATGGACTTCTCTGGTGCCGACCCTAAAAATTCAAAACAAAAAAGAGTTAAAAATCATGGTCGGGGTCATGTTTCAGTAAACCTCATCTCTAACCTTCATCACAACACCAGTCGATGAGCTACTGATGACCAGCACTGCTCATTCGCTTCTGCTAGCTTCCCAGTGATACCAACTTCTCACGGGAAAATTCCCAGCGAGAGCTACATGCCTTGTAACCTTACTTTCCGAATATCCCTCGTACAGAGCAAACTTCACACTTGAAGGGAAACAGAATGAGGACGCTAATCTCTAACCTTCACAACGCCAGTTGATGAGCTACTGACGACTGGCACTGCTCATTTGCTTTCATGGGCTTCCCACTACATGGCAGTGGTACCAACTTCTCATGCGAAAATTCCCTGCGAGAGCTGCATGCCTTGTAACCTTAAGTAAAGGTTTTCTCCTGACGTTAAGTCCAGTCGTGTCTGACTCTGGGGGTTGGTACTCATCTCCATTTCTAAGCTGAAGAGCCAACGGTGTCCGTAGACACCTCCAAAGTCATGTGGCCAGCAGGACTGCATGAAGCATGAAGCACTGTTACCTTCCTGTCAAAGTGGTACCTATTGATCTACGAACATTCGAATGTTTTCAAACGGCTAGGTTGGGAGAAGCTGGAGATAACAGCGGAGCTCACCCCGCTCACTGGATTTAAACCGGCGACCTTTCGGTCAGCAAGTTCAGTAGCTCAGAGGTTTAACCCACTGTGCCATTAGGGGCTCCTTTCTGAATAAACCTCGTATATATACACAACAAATAACTAATATAGGAGGCTTGTAGAAGGTTGCTGTTTCCAACAAAAAGAGGGAGGCACAACCTGCAAACAGGAACCAGCTCAATCAGTACCGCCACTCACTCACCCTCCTGGTCTCTTCTTCTGCTCGCTTGGCTTGGAGTCCTCCGAAGGGGCCATCTTGACCCCGAGTGGCGGGGGTGGCAAGGGTGGCGGGGACACATGGTGGGGCTGCAGAGGTTGGTGCATTGGCGGCTGGGGCTGGATGGGTTGCTGCTGGACCATGTGGTGCTGGGAAATGGCCAGCACGGGAGCAGCGTAGTGCGGGAGCTGGCCCGGGCTCCCCGACGCAAGCGAGGGGGACTTGATGTCCGGGAGGAGCGGTCCGGAGGCCTTCTGGATCACGGGTGCCACCAGTGGGGCTTCCTTTCCGAGGCCCGGAGCACCAAGGGGCGGGTGGCGCGGGATGAGAGGCGGAGACAAGGTGCTCTGGGCCATCTGTTGTGGCGGGCTGGTGACCAGGGGAATGGGGATGACTGAGATGGGAGCCGCCAAGGGTGGGGGTGGGGGAGGTGGAGGGGCCGGGGCAGGCGGAGACAGGGGCACTGCCAAGACATCGTTCTGTGGCTCCTCCTCGTGGGCCACGGCGTGGTTGACCCGTGGCACGCTGGCCTTCGGAAGCTCCTGCTCATGGTCCAGGTGAAGTTTTTCATGCTTTTCGTTTTCTTCTGGAGAGATGAACAAAGCATGGGAAGGAGGAGAAGGGGAGAGAAAGACACAATGAGAACAGAACTAGAACAAACTCTGCATGAAGACAGCAATGGAATTTCTCACAAACCAACTGATATAGAGTGGGAATTACAGTTGTTTGTCCACACCTAAGTGCAACTCCACTTGCACAATATGGCTGTCATAATACATAGAATCATAGGCCTCATGGGCCATCCAGTCCAACCCCCTGCCAAGAAGCAGGAAAACTTGCATTCAAAGCACCCCCGACAGATGGCCATCCAGCCTCTGTTTAAAAGCTTCTAAAGAAGGAGCCTCCACCACACTCCGGGGCAGAGAGTTCCACATCTTAAAAGCAGTGGTTCTCAACCCTCCTAATACCATAATCCCTTAATACAGTTCTTGAAAACAGTCCATATATGAAACCATGAGCCAAGAGTGTGATGCGGCAGCGGGAAAAGCCAATGCAATTCTCTAGGCCAGTGTTTATCAACCTTCCTAATGCCGCATACCCTTAATGCAGTTCCTTATGTTGTGGTGACCCCCAACCATAACATTAGAGTTGGACTTGACTAGACTTGATGTCAAGGGGAAACCTTTATCTTAATTATGTTTTACTGACAATTCTGTTATATTTTTATCTCAGTACTTAATCCTTCGTGGTAAACTCACTGTTACTGTTGTGCTCTATTGTGTATTTTTGGTATGTTTTGTACTCACTTATGCATTGAATATCTGCCTCATGTGTTAAATCGCCCTGAGTCCTCTCAGGGAGAGAGGGTGGGATTGAAATAAATTATTACTATTATTTGTATTATTATTATTTATATTATTATTTATATTATACTGCCCAGTGGCGCATTGGGTTAAAGCGCTGAGCTGCTGAACTTGTTGACTGAAAGGTTGTATTCGAATCCGAGTAGCGGCGTGAGCTTCCACTGTCAGCCCCAGCTTCTGCCAACCTAGCAGTTCGAAAATATGCAATAAGTACAGCTCTGGTAGAAAGGTAAGGGCGCTCCATGCAGTCATGCCGGCCACATGACCTTGGAGGTGTCTATGGACAATGACGGCTCTTTGGCTTAGAAATTGAGATGAGCACCACACCCCATAGTCGGACATGACTGGACTTCATGTCAGGGAAAAACCTTTACCTGACCTTACCTTACCTAACCTACATTATTATTATTATTATTATTATTATTATTATTATTATTTGAAACACCACAAGATGAGTCCACAGCAGACACTCTGCTGGCTGTTGTATTGGATCACACGTCGGACACTTCCCAAGTGTCTAGGACTGTGTGATGTATCGAATAATGCATGCAGATCCCAGTAAGGTGGCCTTCTGCAGCTGGCAGATGATAATTTTATCAGCACCGATTGTGTTTAAGTGCAGGCCAAGGTCTTTAGGCACCTCACCCAGTGTGCTGATCCCCACTGGGACCCCCTTGACTGGCTTGTGCCAGTCTTTGCAGTTCAATATTTAAATCCTCATATTATGTCAACTTTTCCAGTTGCTTCTCTTCAATTATTATTATTATTATTATTACTACTACTACTACTATTATCAAGCTTGAAACGCCACCACCTCCTGTTGTTTGGAAAGCAACCTTTAGAAAACGAAAACCCGCCATGCTAATGCCACCTCTTCCTTATGCGGAGGCGGCAACCTACAACGTGCCCATCCATCACTGCAGAAGAGGTTATCAGCCTCCAGACAGAGTCACAGAGAACAGGACCCGATGCTTTGCTCTCCTACCTCGAAATGACAAAAGCGTAATGCCCTTTCTTTATCAGCCCATTTGTCAGAGGTGTGTCCCCACCCGGATAGCGGATTCAACATGGACAGAAAAGGAGGTTTGTGCATAAATTAACGTATGGAATTTGCTCAAGGTGTACTGCTGGTTTCAAAAAGGGCCTGAACAAATGGATGAAGGAGACACCTATGGGTCAGTGTTTCACCACCTTCCTAATGCCATGACCCCTTAATACAGTTCCTCATGTTGTGGTGACTCCCAACCATAAAATTATATTCGTTGCTACTTCATAACTGTCATTTTGGTACTGTTATGAATCATAGACTCATAGAGTTGGAAGAGACCTCATGGGCCATCCAGTCCAACCCCATTCTGCCAAGAAGCAGGAAAATTGCATTCAAAGCACCCCTGACAGATGGCCATCCAGCCTCTGTTTAAAAGCTTCCAAAGAAGGAGCCTCCACCACACTCTGGGGCAGAGAGTTCCACTGCTGAACAGCTCTCACAGTCAGGAAGTTCTTCCTAATGTTCAGATGGAATCTCCTTTCTTGTAGTTTGAAGCCATTGTTGCACGCAGAAAACAAGCTTGCTCCCTCCTCCCTATGACTTCCTCTCACATATTTATACATGTCTATCATGTCTCCTCTCAGCCTTCTCTTCTTCAGGCTAAACATGCCCAGCTCTTTAAGCCGCTCCTCATAGGGCTTGTTCTCCAGACCCTTTATCATTTTAGTCGCCCTCCTCTGGACACATTCCAGCTTGTCAATATCTCCCTTCAATTGTGGTGCCCAGAATTGGACACAATATTCCAGGTGTGGTCTAACCAAGGCAGAATAGAGTATGGGTAGCATGACTTTCCTAGATCCAGACACTATGCTCCTCTTGATGCAGGCCAAAATCCCATTGGCTTTTTTTGCCGCCGCATCACATTGTTGGCTGATGTTTAACCTGTTGTCCACAATGACTCCAAGATCTTTTTCACACGTACTGCTTTCAAGCCAGGCGTTATTTATACTACCATAATGCAAATATCTGATCTGCAGTATGTATTTTCATCCACTGGACAAAATTTGGCACAAATGCCTAATACGCCCAAATTTGAATACTGGTGGGAGGATTTTCCTTCTGTTTCCAAAAAGGAAGAGAATGACAGGCGGAGAGATCTTCAGTCTTCTCTGCCAAAGGGGTTGCTAAGACCATCAGAAATATATGTTTTCTCATGCTCTTTGGCGACCCCTCTGAAACCCACTCCCCCTCTTCAGGGGTCCTGACCCCCAGGTTGAGAAAAGCTGCTGTAGAATGAATAACCTTTGCAACCACCATGCCATTGCTCAATGCTATGGCATCCTGGGAATTCTGGATCAGCATAGTTCAGCCGTAAAGATCTTCATAAGCTATAACACCCAGGGTTCTCTATTGATAGTTGAGGTGAATGCAACCTGACGCTACTTTCGTGCTCTGGAATCATAGGTGTTGTGGTCTGACAAGGTCTTGAGCCTTTTCTGCCCAAGAGTGCTTGGGCCTCGCTCAACTACAACTCCCAGAATTCCGTCGCATCGAGCCTTAGCAGCTCAAGTGGTGCAGAACTGCGTTGAGCCTCAACAGGAGTGGTTTTCTTCTCTTCCCTGGCTCTGCTTCCATGCAGGATTTGGCTCTGCCGACTGACGGACTCGCTCGGGTGACGTGTTTGGTGTCGCATGCGAGGGAGCGGCGGGGTTGCTTTGTTGCCTGGCTGCCGTCCAGTTGACCCATCCTGGTCGTGTTGTCTTCCAAAGTGTACTGCGGAGAGGCACGCGCTTAGGGACCTGCCTCCTTCCTCTCCCTCCTATCCAGCAAAGAGGACTTTCCCCTCTCCGTTGCCTCTTGGCTCACCTGTTTGGCTCCTCGTTGGACCTGTTTCTGTTTTGATAGGACTGATTCATATGAACACAACTGGAGGCTTAAGTGCACTGGGAGCTGTAGCTTTACAAGGTATTTATTTACGAGGGTTGAATGAAAAGTAATGCCTCCACCTTGGTTACTTGGGTTTGGATGGGAATATTTTAATAAATCAAATGCAGAAATAATCCTTAGAATGTGCTCTTTAACTACCACTATTCACTTTTCCACATAATCACCAGACAATTGGATACATTTCTGCCAATGATGAACAAGTTTTCTGAAGCCGTCACGGAAGAAGTTGACACTCTGCTTCCACAACCCATCGTGTACTGATCTTCCGATAGCCAAGCAAAGCAATAATGTGACCCACACATTCTTGTGAAATGCTGATTACACTTGAAATTTCTCTCTGAGTGATACGACAATTGTCCTGAATCAATCTGTCAACCTTTTGCTTGTGAAACTCGGTGGTTGCTGTCACAGGACGTCCAACTCTTTGTTTGTCATGCAAGTCAGATGTTCCCACCTCAACATCTTTAAACTTACTCGCCCAACGACGCACAGTACTCACATCAACACAATCACCATCAACAGCTTGCATTCTCTGATGAGTCTCCCTTGGGGTGACACCTTCTGCTGTCAAAAATTCAATGACTGCAGTTAGCTTAAGTCACATTGACCAACCATCTGCACAGGGTTCCATACTTCGCACTTTACCAACACAACCGTTCAATGCTAAGGCTTCGCAAAATTGATCTGTAGAGGAGAGTCTACTGAACAAGCCAGTACCTGCCACATACCAGTACTGCCATCTGTTGAACAGTTACGAAGGTGGAGGCATTACTTTTCACTTTAACAACACAACCGTTCAATGCTAAGGCTTCCCACCAAAATGGAACTGTAGAGGAGAGTCTACTGAACAAGCCAGTACCAGCTGCATACCAGTACGCAGTCAGGAAAATCTATAGATGTGATATGAGTGAAAATATATGTGTGGGTGGCTGGGGTGCCCCCCCTCCAATGACATTGCAGGTTATAGCGAGCACTGTGAACATGACTAAGAGCACGACCAATGTCCAGATCCATCATTGTTTGAGTCCACAGTGCTCTCTGGATGTAGGTAAACTACAACTTCAATACTCAAGGTCAGTGCCCACCAAACCCTTCCAGTATTTTCTGTTGGTCATGGGAGTTCTGTCTGCCAAGTTTGGTTCAATCATTGTTGAGGTTCAGAATGCTCTTTGATTGTAGGTGAACTATAAATCCCAGCAACTACAACTCCCAAATGACAAAATCAATCCCCTTCCCAACCCCAGCAGTATTCAAATTTGGGAATATTGGGTATGTGTGCCAAATTTG